ACAAAGGCATAAATAATTTGATGCTTAAGTAGTCTGGTATGCTTTTATCAGCCCTGAAGGGGGTGTGGGGGATCTTCCGATCCTGACCTTCCAAGGGTAGCTGGGAGCACTGAACACATCTCAGAGCAGGGCCCAGCCTACCACCCAACACGTACTCACTTGCTCAAAGAAAATGTAAGTCCTTTCTTCTTGTAAATGTAAATCTATATTTACTGTTGGGTGATTTCTGCATTTGACCCCTGATTAATATACAATTGTGAACGTGACACCTGCTTTGATTTTGCCTTTCCTCAATTGTTATAGAAATACCAAGTTTCATTCTGCTTGATTGCCAAGTGAGAGGGCACATGTGGAGACACTTCTCAGGGGTCACTGTGGCTCACCTAGCAGACAGCCCTCCCTGGTGATTTACAGGCACACTCGGACAAAAGAGCTGCTTCTACCTTGATTGTCACTTGCTGGGAAACCATGAATACGACAAGGAGCTTCTTTCAGCCTTATGAACCCTTCCCGTGTTTGCAACCTGACACTTCTGATCCATGTCAGGAGGTTGGGGGTGGGGGGACGATGCTCTTTCTGACACTTACCTAAAATTGTCCCCAACATAAGGGATTTGACAGCATTGAATTCTGTCCCTGATGACAGGACAACTTGTCTCCTTGCATTCTGGTTAACCTATTAAATATTCCACAAGAAGCAAACATCAAAATGGCGAGTAATTTTGGTGATGAGAGAATGGGAGTCTGAGGGAGACCAAGGAAAACGGTAAAAACGAGCCATATGTTCAGCTGTCACAAAGGTGAAACGGTTTCACAGCAATTGTTTTAATACCTCGGATTTCACACCATCCCATTGCCTATTCTTTCCCCTTTATTTGTCTTCATGGTTTAGGGATCCGTAATTGGTACGATCCACAAAGAAATGCAATAAGCTATTTCAAACCTTAAAGCTTTTACTTATTTCAAACAGAAATTAATAACACAAGCCACAAAAGGTATTACTGGCACAGATTCAATATATAAAGGTTATTCTTCAAAACCCAGTGACAATGAATAATCGAAACATGGAGGCTTTAAAAAAATGTATTCCCACTTTCAGCAAAATCTTGCTTTTCCCCTTGTGTTTACATTTCTGCCGCCTTTGCTCTTTTGTAGTCAGATGGAAAAGCCTCTCATTCTCGTCGGAATGTCTCCAGTAATCGCTGGGAGAAACTGGGCAACATTTCCCTACTAACGAGGACAGCTTGACATTTTCAGCGGTCAGATATTAACAAGAACCCTGTCAGCATCTTGCTAAACAAACAAACGACATTGCTAAAGAAAACACTTTGACTATGTTTTCTGTCCCCAGGACTTTCTGGGAAGACTGATGAACGTGTATCTCTTTTACTAGGATTTATTCTCAAAGCCTTGCTGGAGGTCATACACTGAATGCCACAGGTTTGATTACTCTTGCCGCTGTGAATCTACCCCTTACCTCTACAGCGACCACCGCCGCTTCTCTGTGAATCGTCACCTGGTGAAGCTGCCCATCAGCGAAGTTTTTAAAACCAAAGTTAAAAACATCAGGTTCTTGGTGCCTGTCCAGCTTATACCTGATCTGCAAACTTCCTAAACAAAATTTAAAAAATGACATTTTTAACTAAAATGGAATTTTATAAAAACCATCAACACAGGTTCTAAAGCACATTTTGTTTTTATTTATTTCCTATAATTTGAATTTATTGAGTATTTGCTTAAGGACACCGAGAGTCTCTATTCCTGGAAGAGTGATCATTTATGTGCTATTCCAGGGCTGAATTCAGAATCCGATTACATTATTTTAAAAATCAAGACCAAATGGTCTTTCCCCAAGTTCTTCCATTTTCCTTAACAAAGGAAAAAATTCTAAGTTAAGCATATGGGAACTCGGAGCTAGGCTCGAAGTTAATTATTCATGTGGTATTCATAGCATTAATGGTAAAACCTCAAGCAATATTGTATTAACATTCAGTTTCTATAAGTATCACTTCTTTTAATGTGACTTATTTTAATGCACTTTAATGTATTGCTGGCATTTGCATAATGCATATTTTGCACAACTAGAATTTTTTTCCAATGTTTCTGCCATAATCAAGAAACAGAAGAAAGACGATGATTTGCTATAACATCTCAATCTCCTGATGTCCTTGACAGGGATGCCCACTGCCCCATGATCCCGTACTGCCTGGAGCAGATCTTCCAGAAAGTGGGTCTCTGCCCTTCTGCTCTGTGAAGTGAGGTCACAGCTTGGGCTAATGCTCCATCTGCAACAGTCTTGGAAAGACTTGGTGGCCATGAGTTGGGTACCTCTTATCCCACTTTTTCTTTGTATGTAGCTGTTGCCATGAATGGCTTCCCAGCCACTGAAGAGTCTGAGGGACTCAGACTTTTACTGATGAGTAAAGAACAATCCTATTCCTGTGATGCGTAGGAATCGTGGGTTTTAGATAGTTTAATATACTTCTTTACTTTGCTAAGAAGGAGGAGGAAATATTTTCCATGTACAAAGTGAGCTATCTTATTTCAAAGTGAATTGCAGAACTAAGTTATTCACGTACAGAAGGAAAGACTTCCCAGAATAGCAAGATGCCTAGCGGCACATCAAATACCTAAAATGATCAAACTTCCATGGGGGAAATGTATCTTAAATGTAATCATGGAAATGTGAACTTTAGTGATAAACACTTGAGGGTTATCATGAACTAGTGTAACAAGCATGGCAAGCCATGAAATTGTGTTTCCTTCTCGTAGTTAAACACCTAAAGGGTCCCCCTCATTGTGGTCCTTATTTGCTAATTCAGCCTCCTCGTTCTTATAGTCTCGACACTCACCATTGGGGGCGAGGATCACGGACAGGTACTCCTCGTAGAAGGAGCTCACATAGAGGAGTAAGCTGGGTGTCCCTGTGGTCCGGAAGCTCAGTGTGGCCACTTCTCCAGCCAGCGTCAGACCCTCATGAAGTAAAGCTGCAAAGGAGCTTGAGTTCTTGCTGGCGGTGTAGTTAGAATGTTCCTGAAAGTCGTAGATAACGGACGAGCCAGTTCCAAAATACGCAGAAATCTCTGGAATGACACTCATTTTGGTTATGTTAGCACGAGTCAAGGTGAGGCTCTTCTCTATGTGTATCCACACACTATCTCTAACCCTCAGCCTATCAAGAGAGAACGTAAGAATGTCATGCTTTGTTGTTTTTTTTTAATGCAGAAATATTTCTGATTAAAAAGGTAATCAAGCATGGATAAAAGATAACTCATCCCTGTGTCTATTCACATGACGTCAAACCAAGTAACGGTATTTTATTAAGGCCCACAAAATGCTCCATCTCAGAGTTACACAGCATTAAATGCCGAGTGTAAACATACACTTAGAGTTATTGTCTCCGTGTCGTGTGAATGATGCTGAATCCAACAGAAGTCATCACAAGCTTCTCAAGAACAGAATCATAAATGGACAAATTTGGGAGAGAAACAACTCTCGTTTAGCTGATCACAGAGAACCGCCTTATCCTTTCGTAGAGAAAGGGTCAAATGCCAGAAACACGAGGCAAACAGCCAAATAGGGTGCCTGCCTCTCCCGGTCCTGCCCAGCGCACACTCACCGCTCTCGCAGAATGGCCCGTCATACGCAGAGACGGCGCAGTCGCAGACGATGCCCCTGGGTCTCTCCCTACATCTCCCTCCATTGCGGCACAGGTGTCCGTAGCTGCTGCAGTGTCCCAGGCAGCCGGGGTCCACGCCTGGCGTCATCGTGGCCCTTTCTTCCAGGTCCAGGGCCAGCCCGTTCAACCGCAGCGACCGAATGCACCCCAGGAAGCCTCTCTGTCTGGTGGCCGTCCCGCCTACAAGGGAAACAACTACAGCTGTGCCCTGGGGGTCTCGGTGGCGTTTCCACCCCAGGTCCAATGCGGGCCGACCGATCACGTCAGGAAAGGGACCCGCCGGAAGCTTTACTAACACATGCGATTATGAAAACCTAGGCTGTGACCTCATACTAAGAATCATCAAACGATATCGAGTAAACCACAGACGGAAATATTTTTGAAGTTTAGCTTCATAAATATTTATTCTAAAAAGTACTTCTTCAAGTTCTATTTAGAAAGATTTGCACATTTTTAAGTCGGTTCCTTCATTTAAAAAAAAAAAAAAGACCATCTCTCCTTTTTAAAAGTTTAAGTGTATAAACTGTGATGAGCACAATAAAGTTAGATAGTTGAAAATCTTTGCAATATAATATATATTACAAATTTGTAACATGCAAATATATACATTGTATAGGGTTAATATGTAATATACATTATAATTTGTATATGCATTGATCATACATATTTTGTTACATATTTATTACGCACTTGTTATATATAATACGTATATTATATATAATAACAAATTATATATGTAATACCATCCTTTCTTAGAAATGCTCCCATTAACAATGCCATGAAAAAGGAATTGAGGAGCAGGCAAAGAAAGAAATTAGGGGTAACATTAAAACCCAGGCTCAGGGCACCTGGGTGGCTCAGTGGGTTAAGCTTCTGCCTTCAGCTCAGGTCATGATCCCAGGGTCCTGGGATCGAGCCCCGCATCGGATTCTCTGCTCAGCAGGGGGCCTGCTTTCCGGCCCCCTCTGCCTGCCTCTCTGCCTATTTGTGATCTCTGTGTGTGTGTGTGTGTCAAATAAATAAATAAAATATTTAAAAAATAATAATAATAATACCCAGGCTCAGGCCTGCCTCGCTCCAGCCTGCCGGCTCTGAGGTCAGGAGGGTAACAGTCACTGAACACTGAGTAGCTCTCTCTCTATCATGCCTCACACGAGCCTAATCTCCAATCTGGGGGCCTTGGAGTTTTCTGTGTCATGGGTTGTACACACACACACGCACACACACACACGCCTCCCTGCATAGCACAGCCCCCAGAAGCTGTAGGTGTCCTCTGACAAAGCAGACTGTGGGCTAATCTGTGATTTAGATTAGTTCCTAATTGGACAAGCTCCTTATTTACTTGAAAACATATGAGAAATGACCAAGGAAGAGCTACCTCATTGATCTGCTTGCTTTCCAAATTAGAATAGAGTTGTCTGAAAAGTAATGTAGCAAAAGTTATCTCTCCCTTTGAGAAAAAGAAAAAAAGTCTTAAAAATAATAAGTGAGTACATGAAAAGGAAGACTTCTACTACTCAGAGCTTTCATCCCTGAAGCACCAGCAGCAAGAATGGAACCAGACTGGTTCTGACCCCGGTGTCGGCAAGGAGGGCGACACAGCCACGTGAGTCCTCCTTCGGTCTGTGTTAGATGGGACACAGGAGAACGCGGGCACAGTCACACAGCAGATTCCCTGACTGCACGGAGAAGTGAAGCTGGGAGTTCCGGATGAAATTTGCTAACCGTTTTGTAAGTAGTATTGATAAGAAGTCACTAAAGCGAAACAGGTCATCAATACTGTTGAGGTCCAGCCTGGAAATCCACCCACTGGGGACTGGGTTTCTCTTCTATTTCAGTTTCTAGACTACGTCACTCGCTCTCTCTGGACCTCCATTATCTCATCCGTGACCTTGGAAATCTATGGAAACCATGATTCCGAACAACACACTATGGAAAACTGTATTAACAACCGTCTGTGGAAAGAGAGCCCGACTCTTGCTGGAGCTCTCAGTCCGCGGTGCCGACAGGAGCCGCGTGCACCTGCTGCCATCACGGCTGGACGGCTCGAGTCTTCTCTGTGTCCACCGGCACGGCGCAGCCAGAGGGCAGCCACACTCACCCACGAAGAGCTGGCTGTTGAGCTGCAGGCGGGCATGGCCGTCCGTGGGTGCGGCTCGCGTCTTGCTGGGGAGCTGGTCCACTTGAAGGGTTGCCTCCTTCACGTTCCTCTCAGCCCTCACGTGGTGCCACCGGTTGTCGTTAAAGGGAGTGGGAGACCGCACCGTGACCTCACATCGCCCGTTCCCCACATCGAAGGAAAAGGTCACTTCTGCAGGAGCTGCAAACACAAAGAGGAGAGTAGCTCGGTTCATTCCGCAGGGAGGAAATTCGGTCTTAGAGACAGGAGGGCAGCGGCACGACAGGCTCCTTATGAAAGCGGACGGTGACACTGCTGCTGACCAATGTCACTCTGAGCTGGCTAGGAGGGCAACAGAAATGTGTGTCCTGGGGGAAGAGAAACAAAGCCATTTTACCTATTCCTCCTCAGAGAATGCTCATCTTGCTAAACCTTAAGGAGTAGATTTCTTTCCCCACTGGAGGGAAACTGGCCTGTGACCTGCCTTCTTATATATCAGCGGATTTATTTCAAGGTGGGTGGAATCCTCATGTGCTTTATTTAAAAAGCCCTCCGTGAAATTTTGAAGTACGGGAGCGAGTCTTGCATACGTGTGTGAACAACGTGGTGAGTCAATTACATGAAATGATTCTGCAATTTAGGGAGTAGTTATCAGACCAGTTTGGTTTAAAAGATCCTTACTGCACACACAGGGCAGCACAGAATTGGACAGACTGCTGTGTGTTTTGTGAATCACTGTTTTCCTCTCTATTAAAAATAAGACTTAAAATAATGGAGCTTTAGGCGCTCCTGGGTGGTAGGGTTGGTTAAGCATCTGACCCTTGGTGTGAGCTCAGGTTGTGATCTCAGGGTCACGAGATCAAGCCCTGCACTGGGCTCCACGCTCAGCGTGGAGTCTGCTTAAGACTCTGTCTGCCTCTCCCCCCCTCCCAACCCTGCTCTCTCTCTCTCAAATAAATAAACCTTTTTTAAAAAGGTATTAGAACATTAGTATGTACTAAAGGAATACAAGTGATGAAGAAAGCATAGCAGTACTTTGGGAATTAGGTTCCCAGAAGGGTTATTGCTATATACTGAGATCTGGTGGCTTTGCCCAGGGAGCGACTCACCATGTAGCTCTAGCCTGATGAAGTCTGTGATCCCCAGGTTCTCTACAAACACCCCAGAAGGCGCTGTCGTCTTAAAAAAGAAAGACACGTCAGCACTGAGCTCTCCACGGAACGTAGGGAAGTGAAGGTATGAGGTCTCGGTCTTGAAGGAAGCAGAATTCCAAAATGAATCTGTTTCCAAAAAAAAAAAAAAAAAAAAAAAAAAAAAAAAAAAAAANAACAAAAAAAAAAAAAAAAAAAAAAAAAAAAGAAAAAGACAGTGACAATAGCAAGGAAACAGAATAACAACCACATTTTGTATTTCTAGCAATTTTTTTTACCATTATTACCATTTTTTACCATTTTTATCATTATTAAATCTATGCAAGCCTTCACTTGGGGGTTCTTCCAAACATACAGCCACAATGTGAATATCCAGATACTGACTCTTTCAAGGATTAAGAGGGACAAGACTGCAACTGAGTGGACAGATAGTCACTGGAAATACCCTGCGTTTTTAGAAGACGATATTATTTATAGATTACCATTAAGTCAAATTGACTTTGGGGGGACGTACAGTTAGATGAACTTTAATACACGCATAGGGCTGTATAACCACCACCAAAATCAGGATAAAGGACAGCTCCATCTCCCCTCCTCCCTCGGGCTGTTCTCTTAGAGTCACACCCTCCTCTGCCCCTAAGCCCTGGTCATTGTGATCTACAGTTGTGCCTTTTCCAAGTGTCATATAAACGGAGTCACACTGTAGGTAACCTTCTGAGACTGGCTTCTCTCACTCAGTGGAAAGCCTTTGAGATGCATTGATTTTGCCACGACTTGTTGCTGCTCTACCGTCCTTCATCACATGGATCGGGCCACCATTTCTTTGTCACTGGAGAACGTCAGTGTGGTTTCCAGCTTCGGTCGTTCACTAACAGAGCTGCTCTAAACACGTCTGCCGATCACACGTGTATCTGCAAATAGTTTTCTTTCTTGCTTTCCAACCTGGATGCCCTTCCTCCCTTCCTCCCTTCCTCCCTTCCTTCCTTCCTCCCTTCCTTCCTCGGTTCCTGCACTGGCTAGGACGTCCAGAGCGACTGGAGTCACAGAACAGAAGCGGTGAGATTGAATATCCTTATCTCGTGCCCACTCCTGCAGGGAAAGGGTTCAGGTTTTCACCAGTAACCATGCTGCCAGCTGTCCATATATAGATAATCTTTATTAGGATCAAGAAGTTCCCTGTTATTCATAGTTTGCTAAGAATTTTATTGTGAGTGGTATCTGATATGAATGTATTATGTTAATTCTTGATATAATCATAGTAATTCAAATGATCATGTTCATATCAACGGATGCAAAGAAAGCATCTGGTGTGATTGTTCTTCTTTAAACTGTTAATATGGTAGATGACATTGATTGATTTCCAAAAATGGTCAACCCTTGAACAACAAGGGGGTTGGGGCACTGACCTTTGCACAGTTGGACATTCACATGTAACTCTGGACCCTCCAAAAACTTAACTACTAATAGCCTAATGGACAGGTTGACTGGACACCTTACCAAGAAGCATCAACGTTTGATTAACACACACTTTGCATGTTATAGTATTATATACTGTATTCTTACAATACAGTGAGCTGGAGAAAACAAAATATTAAGTAAATCACAAGGAAGAGAAAACACATTTACAGGATGGTACTGTATTTTTTGAAAAAAATCTATACATAAGTGGACCTGCCCAGTTCAGACCCATGTTGTTCCAGGGTCAGCTGCACTGAGTCAGCCTTGTGTCCTAGGGTAAATGCCAGTTGGTGATGGTGTATTATTCTTTAAATGTTCCTGGATTTTTTGCTAATGTAGTTGAGGATTTTTGTATACGTGTTTGTGATGATGCATAGTTATCTCTCTTAATTTTTTTTCTTTTTTTGCATTTTCTTTGTCTAGTTTGGGTATCGGGGCAATGTTGGGCCCTCATAAAATGTTGGAAAGAATTTCCTCTGCTATTTGCTGAAAGAGATTGTGCAAACATGGTGTTATTTCTTCTTTGGTGAAACTCACCAATGAAGTCATCTCTGACTGGATTCAATTTCATCAATACTTCTAGGTCTCTACTAGTTGTTCAATTTATCTTGAGTGAGTTTTAGTAGTTAGTGGTTCTCAAGGAATTAGTCTGTTTCATCTATGTTGGAGAACTGACGTGTGTAGAGTTGTTTGTGGTATGCCATTATTATCCTATTGATGTCTGTAGGGTCTGTAGTGATACTCCATCTTTCACTCCTCATATTAGTAATATTTCCCTTCTTTCTAACAGTTTTGATAGAGATTTATCTATTTTATTGTTCTTTTATAAATATTTTGTTTTTATAGATCTCTGACTTTAATTGATTTCTCTTCTTATCTTTATTATTTCCTTCCTTCTGCTATTTCAAATTATTTTTTTTTCTTTTTCTAATTTCTTATGGTAAAAGCTTAAATCATTGAGTTGAGACCTTTTTCTTTCATAACACAAGGATTTAATACTATTACTATCTCTCCAAGCACTGACATAACTGCCTCCCACCATTTTTGATATGTTGTATTTTCCTTTTCATTCAGATCAATATATTTTATAATGTCTGTTGAGACCTCCTTGACTCATTTAATATTTAGCAGTTTGGTATATAATTTCTAAGTGTTTGAAGACTTTCTCACTCTCTTTGTTCTTTGTTTCTAGTTTAGTTCATTTGTGTCAGGGAATGTATTTTTGTGTGATTTATTTGATATGTGCTCAAGTTTGTTTTGTGACACAGAATATGGTGTATCCATGTGCATTTTAAAAGAATGTGTATTTTACTGTTGGTAGGGTGTTCCATAAATGTCAATTAAATTCTCTTGCTTTGTGGTGACATTAGGTTTTATGTACACTTTGCTTGCCCCCCCCCCCGCATTAGTTCCAATGATTAATGAGACAGGAGTATTGGAATCTCTAATTATAATTATGATTTTGCCTACTTCCCCTTTCCATCCTGTCAGTTGTTGCTTTACATATTTTGAAGCTCATTAAGACTCTTATGTCTTCTTAATCGCTTTTTGTATCTATTAATTTTCTATGCTTTCAAGCAAAAACTTTAATACAGAAACTCCAGCTTTCTTTCAATTAGTGTTTGTGTAGTATATCTTTCCCTGTCCCTCTTTTTAAACTTGTGATATCATTATATTTGAAGTGAGTTTCTTGTACAAAGTACATAGTGGAGTCATAACCATCTGTCCTTTAACTGGTTTAGACAATTCATATTAAATTTAAATGTTGACAAGTTTAATTTAGTTTTACATTTTATTATTTTTTCCCGTTATTTTTTCCTTATGCTTTTTTGTCCTTTTCTGTCTCCTTTGGGGTTAAACATTTCTTAGTATTCTACTTTTGTTTGTCTGTAGCAGTTCCTTGGCTGGTTACTTCAGGAGTGACAATATATACACTTACCTTTTCAGAGTCTGCTCAGAATCTGCATTTTAACCACTGGGACTCATATGTCAAAACCTGGCCAACAATTCTGTTGGTTTTCCGAGTGCCCTTTAGTTATTGCTGCCAAATGTATTCCATCTGTACAAAGTAAGAGCTCTTTGAAATAATGTTGTATTTTTTGCTTTCAACCACAAGTACATTTAAAGTAACTCAACAGGAGAGTAGTCTCTTATATGTACTCCAATATTTACCATTTCTCAAGCTGATTTTATACCCCCGAGGTCCCAGATTTCCTTCTGGTATCTTTTCCCTTCTGTCTGACTCTTCCTTTAGAAAGTCTTTTAAAGTATCTCCTGGTAAGGAATGCTTTTAGCTTTACTTCGTCTGAGAATTTCTTTATCTTCATCCCTGAAGGAGGTTTTTGCTGAATATGGAATTCCAGACTGACAATTCTTTACTTTTAGCCCTTGAGAAATGTTTTGCCACTTCCTTCCTGGCTTCCATATTTCTAATGAGAAAGTCACAGCCATAGGAGTAGGCGTTCACCTACAGATGATGCATTACTCTTCTCTCTGGTTGATTTTAAAACATTCTCCATTGCCTTTGTTTTCAGCAGTTTGATAATGGTGTGTCTGGAGGTGAATTTGAGTTTATCCTGTTTCAAGTTCATTCAACTTCTCAAGTTTGTTTTTTGCCAAACTTGGACAATTTTCAGCCTTTCTTTTTTCCAATTTTTTTTTTCAGCACCACACTATTCTGTCTGCTTCTGGAATGCTCAATTACATGAATGTTAGATCTTTTGTTGTTGACTCAGAGTTCCCTGAGGCCCTGTTCATTTTTAGATTTTTTTCTTTCTTTTGATCAGATGAGTCATTCGCATCATTAAGGCCACTGACTCTCTCATCTCAGATCCACTATTTGGCCCACCCAGGACATCTTTTATTTCAGTTTTGTATTTTTCAGTTCTAAAGTTTTCATTTAGCTCTTTGGATATCCTATTTCTTTGGTGAAATGTTCTTTTTCTATTTGCTACAAAAGTGTTTATGATCACTTGTTAGAGTTCTTATGTAATAGCTGTTTTAAACTCTTTATCAATTCGTTCTAACCACTGTGTCACAATTGCATTAGTATCTGTTGACTACATTTTCCTAAGCCAGCTTAGATTTTTCTGGTTCTTTGTGCTAAGTAATTGTGGATGACTTCCTATAAATTTTAAATATTATATTAATAAATTCTGGGCTTTGTTTAAATGTTGCGGAGCATGTTGATTTCATACACACACATATATACATATATACAAATTTTATTTTTTGTTTTTAATTTATTTAGTTTTTTTTGCAGGCACTTGGCCTAGTTAGGATCTGGCCACACATTGCAATCTGCCTTCTGTGGGCTGTCTCTAATGCCAGTCCACTTTCCAAAGCCTTTGCAGCACGACCCAACTCTGCCTCACTCGTGCACAACCCAGTGGCCAGCCTAGGTCTTGGGTTGTCAACTCTCCATTCAGTTCTCAACTTCTTGGGTCTACAGTTAGGACCGGATCCATGCATGTGTCGCTCTGGGATGAGCCCAGGACTTCATGAACAACATATAGTATGCTTTCCTGAATGGCCGCCTCCCTCTGCAATTCCAGGTACTTTCTGGTCCCCTGGTCTCCCTTGTCAGTCACGGAACTGGAAAACAGGCTCTACCGAGACTGCTCTGTAATGCTGTCCTGTGCAACTGTACCTGGTCCGTTGCCAAGCGATGGGTGAGTGGAGGAAGAAAACAAAACTAAGAGGAGTCTTCCCACCATCTCTGAGCCACAGCAGCCCTCTGCAGGGCAGAAGTCCCCTTCTGAAGTCCTGGCTCTCGTGCACTCCCTGGGCAGCTCCTGCTGCCATCGTCGTGGGTCTGCCTGGAGAGAAAAGAGGGAAATGGGATTCCTGCATCTCTGAGAGTTAGGACCTTTCTGTTCCGGCCTCTAGCCAGGGCTCGAGGGCTTCTCCTGGAACCTCTCTGTCCATGACCCAGTGCCCACGACTGGGTTGACCGACAGATGCTGGAGGGAAAAGTAAATGATGCCTCCTGGTTTCTCCTCCTTGCCTTCCTAGAGCCCTGAGATGACTGTTTCAGGCTGCCCAGGTTTCACAGGGCACTCGGGGGAGACGTGGGGTAGGCGTGCTTAGTTCGTCCCATCTGGACACAGAGTGTGGTCTGCAGTCTAAGGTCATGAGTGGGAAGAACAATTCTTCGTACTGTCATCCGTCAAGGCATGTTCATGTGTTCTTTACACCGTGACTATCCACCTCTCAATGGTTTTGTCATCTGAAGTAGGAAACTTCCTTTTTCTCAATGGCAAGGCTCAGAAATGCCAGGATTTCTCCACATGGCAGCGTCTCCTATGCGGCCCCAGGAAGGGCTGGCCACCGCAGCCTTGGTAGACGTTCAGTTTTGGCCTCTGCTCTGATACAAGGGCCACTGGAGAGTCTGGGCCAGAGGACTGACGTGCCCTGACTTTTCCCTCGGGCCATTCTGTGGCGTCTCCGCTAAGTGGGCAGAAGCAGCTGCAAGCACGCCAGTCAAGCCACCGGGAGGGGGCGCTGGACCCGGTTTTGACATTCAAAGCAATGCGATTTGTATTTGAGGATGAGTCCGACGTGTGTTAAGAGAGGGAAGAAGTTATGAGTGGCTGTTACGTTCTCCGTCTAAGTGAAAGGAAGCATGGAGTTGCCGTGCCCTGAGTTGGGGAAGGTTGTCATGGAAACACTTTTTTTTCCTTCTTTTGGACAAACTGTTCTGAAATGCCTGTCAAGGCAGAGAGGTACAGCCTAAGCAGCTGGGTGGCATGGGGGGAGTGCAGGGAGACGGCCTGGGGTACAGCGATGGCAGAATCATTGACCTCAATGTGGGATTTAAAGCCACAATCCTGTTGGGAACAGCTCATCACTGGAGAGCAGAGAGAGGGAGGGCTGAGGACACAGGCCGGGGGCACCACAACAGGATGCCGCTGGCACGGGGAAGGAAGGAGGGAAAACCCAGACTTTTGTGGGTAAGCTGGCAGCTGAACAAAGACGTGAATCAGAGTGAGTGAGGCAGGAGGCCAAGGTCAGGTCTGACGCCAGCTAAGAGCAGAGTGCGCGTTTAGCTGGGTCGGAGCTTTACTGATGCCTGGAAAAGGCAGTTTTTAGGGAGTGATGGAGGAGAAGGCCTGAAGAGAATATATTCAAAAGGGATTAGAAATAAGTAAGTTAAAGGTAGAGTGGATCCGCTCTATTTCAGTTAGTTTGGGAGAGGGAAGGCTTTGGAGAAATCCACATGCTGTGGGAGGGGTGAGGACAGTTAGGACGACTGAGGTTCGCAAACTGTCAGAGGGTGACAACGAACAGGCACGTGATGGCTTCCGTCTCCCCGTTTCTCAGTATCTTACCAGTTTTAGGCATCTCGGCACTCAGCTAATACTCCAATTAATTAATTATCAAATCACTAGATTTTGCTGACTGGGTGATCAGTGTTTCAGATCATCCCACCAACACTCACAGCGATAGTCTGACTCAAATACTACACAGAGGACACACACTCCGAAGGTAATACAATACTCCTCATTTTTTTCTCAAGCAGAACGCCAACATACACTTCTTTTGTAAGTTAACACATTCCTAATGAGATGCAGAGTATTAGCATAGACGGTGTTTTTACGGACTCAGGCAGCCACACGTCTCCTAAAACACTGACATGCATTTCCAGGAGTCAAGACAGTTCCTCTTGCCACTACTTACTGTCCCCGGAGCAGAGCAGAGGCCCCAGCGCATAAGCCGCTTCTGAATGTGGTCGGCCTGTGTCTCTCATCACAACCTGAGTGACTGGCAGGTGCTCCTTGTGGGAAAGGACTACTGTGTCACTGGTCCTACAAAACAAATACGACCACCTTAGCGTTATTCTGAACGA